AAGCGGTACTATTACTTCTCATTGTCTTGACACTATCCCTCTGTTGATGCATGACCTTATTTTTCTCACCACTGAATTGCATTTTATTGGATAGGACCAGGGGTGAAATGCTACTGGTTCGGACAGGTTCTGCCATCCGGGTAGGGAAAAATTTGACTGGTTCAGAGAGCTAGTAAGGATAATTTTGATTGGCTCTGCCCACCTGCCCTCCCCCTCCTCTTTCCTCTCCTATTTCTGTTATTAGCTCAGCCAATTCGCGCGGCAGAGCAATTGCCACCTCAGCTGAGCTAGAATAATTAAGGGACACTTTCTGCCGCTTTTTTTCCTCCCCCCACCCCCAACCAGGGAAAGGAATACTAGCTTTAATGAGATGTCTGGGCGTTCAGGCGTTACAGAATGTTGCAAAACTGCAAACCACCTTGCCTGAATTGAGAAACTGCCTCAAAAGAAACTGCCTTTTGCTTCCTCTGGAGCAAAAGCAAAGCGCCTCTTCCAGGGTAGATTTCTCTGTGTTTTCTATTTTTCTTCCACAACAGAACAAAAAAGCTTTTTCCTATTGAAGGCTTTTCCAGTTCTTTATTCTGATTTTCTCCTGGAGCAAAAGAAAGCCCTTTCTAGTGAAGCAGTTCCACGGTTAATTGTTCTCACTGTCAGGAAGTTTCTTCTTAGTTTCAGGTTGCTTCTGTTTCTTCAGTTTCCATCCATTGCTTCTTGTTTTGCCTTCTGATGCTTTGGAAAATCCATTTCCCCCCCGCCTTCTTTCTAGCAGCCCCTTAAAAGCCTGTTGCCTATCACACTCTTGGGCAAAGCATGTGAGCCATTTCCTCCTTTTAGTGATCCATTAAAGTACATCTATAGCATGTACAGTAGATAATAAAGTTGAAAAAAGGTTCAACATTTTTACAGAACTATAGATATGTTGATGCTGGGTGTGACAAGGAATGGCTGGGAGGGGCCAGACGAGGCATCCCTTGATGTGAGTGACATTGAGTTGGCCACGCCCACCCAGTCACATGACCACCAAGCCACGCCCACAGAATCAGTAGGGAAAAATTTTAGATTTCACCACTGGATAGGACCCAATGTTCTGAATCCTGAGTCTATCTACCAAAGTGTTAGCATTTCCTCCCAGTTTTGTGTCCCTCAAATCTTGCAAATTTGAGCAGAGGGATAGAATCAAGATCACATGAAGTGTTTGTACTGCTTTATAATCTTAATAAGACATGGGGAATACTGCATCCAGTTTTTGTTGCCATAATATAAAAAAGATGTTGAGACTCTGGAAAGAGTGCAGAAAAGAGTAAGAAAGATGATTAGGGGACTGGAAGCTAAAACATCTGAAGAATAATTTCAAGTAGTAGTTATATATAGTCTAATGAAAAAACGATATATGGAAGACATGACCACGTCTAAGGGGCTGCCACAAAGACAAGGGAGTCAATCTATTCTCCAAAGCACATGAAGGCAGGACAAGGAGAAATGGATGGAAACTAATCAGAGATGTCTATGGAGATTCTCAGCCATCTAGGTCATGGTTGTCCCAAAGGTGCTTTTTCAAAAGGCAACTGTTTTTTTTTTTTCTTTAAAGACATTTCACTTCTGATCCAAGAAGCTTCTTCAGTTCTTCTCTCAGCTTGAAAAAGCACCTTTGGGATAATCAAAGTGAGATCATACCTATATAGATCATCCATAAGGAGAACTTTCCTGTCAGTGAGAACGATTTTTCAATGGAATGGCTTGCTTCCAGAAGTTGTGGCTTAAGTGTATTTAAGTGTATGAATGGAGGGCTCATTGAATATGGATAAGGTGAATAAGATGAGTTAAAGTTATTCCTACAGAATGCTTATGTCTCAAAATCACTAAGAAAGGAGTAGTTGTGATAATGATTTAAGATAGGAAAAGGTGGCTTTGGTTTAGCCAAATGTCAATCAATCAGAATAAAGCTGGAAGGGACCTAGGACCATGATGGCGAACCTATGGCACGCATGCCAGACATGGCACACGGAGCCCTCTCTGTGAACATGCACGCCATCTCCCCAGCCCAGCTCCAATCGTGTTTCTCCATTATATTTCATTCAATCAATGCCAACTTCTTGTGAAAGAAAAAGATCTCATGAAGTTGGCATTGATTGAGTGAACTTTTTCACGCACGCGCTTCACAATGGGGGAGATGGGGTCCCCTCCTCCTGAAGCCCGTTATGATGCAGAGCCACAATGTGACCCATGAGGCTCTTTCACCTCTCTGCTGAGGCTCCCTGCCGCTCTGTCATAGCAGAGGGATGAAAGAGCTGTCATCCTGTCATGGGGATGGCGATGGCCTGAGCCTTAGTGCGGGAGCGAAGCACCCCTGTACTTGCCTTTGCATGGCAACAGGATTCCACCTTCGTCGTGCTACATTTGCTGTTGCCGCCAGCAAAGAGGGCTGGGAGAGAATGGCGTGGTTGGATCTTGCGGGGTGGGGGCCATCTCCCAAGCCTGACCTTCTTCCTCACTCAGCGGGGCCAAGAGAAAGAAGAGGCGGCATGGAGAAGTGTTCCCCTCCCCTAGCCAAGCACTGAGCACAAAAGTCCAGGGAGGGGGATGGCTGGCCCAACAGAAGCACCCCCATTAGCGAGTCGGTTGGTGGAGAGGCCTGGCCTGGCTCTCACAGCTGTCCCGCTGTTTGGCACCTCCAGACACAAGCTGCCACCTTTGAAATGCGCTGCGCCTTTGAGGAAGCCGGGCAGCAATGTCTGGGGCCAGGGTGGGCAGCAGAGGCATCAGGGCTGCTCCCCCCTCCTCAGCTAGCCGGGCCTGGAAGAGCGCAGAGAGTTGGAGGCTGAGCACCTGAGTGTCAGAAAGCACACTCCCACGTCACCCCAACACGCGTTTCCAGCGCGTGCTCCTCTGTCCTGAAGTGGGATTGAGTGAAGGGTAGGAGGAAGGGAGCAGGGAGAAGGGAGAAGGGTAGGGGGGCTTCTAGGAAGAGAAACCCAGCTGGCTTTCCTTTTGGCGTGGGGTGGGGGAAGACCCAATAAAAATCCAATTTCCCCCAATAAATTGGAAAAATAAAGGCCCGGAGGTCCAGAGTTCAAAAAGGGGGGCGGGGTCTGTTCATAGGAGGATTGGAGAGGAAATCAGTTGAAATCTGGGCGGGAGGCCTGGGTCTCTTCTTCCCTCCCCCTTAGATTCCCCTCTCCTGTTTTTCTTCCCTAGTCTCGTTTTATGGGGAGGGGGAAGCAAGGTGGGACAATAGTAGCTAAAAGGCTGTGAGGGGGGTTAGGGTTTATTAAAGATGGGGATTGGGAAAAGATGCCATTCCTTCCCCAAGGACCCAGGGAAAGTGGAATAAAAATAGGTGTGTATGTGTCTGAAAATAACAGGCCAGGATAGCTTCAGCCACAAACAACAGCTGCTATTATTTTTGCTGAGAGCTTCTAAACTACACAGCATTCTTTAATAAATTCTAACAATAACGAACCATAATTAAAGGAATTAACAATAACAAACCAAGATTAAAGGAAGGTGAAATCAGAGGAGGGGAGAAGGAAGGAAGGAAGGAAGGAAGGAAGGAAGGAAGGAAGGAAGGAAGGAAGGAAGGAAGGAAAGAAGGAAGGAAGGAAAGAAGGAAGGAAATGGAAGGAAGGAAGGAAGGAAGAAGGATGTGATGGCCCTCCAGAGACTACTGCACTACATTCCCATCATTCCTGAGATGTGCTGTTAAAGAAATCCAGTGCCACCAGGGAGAAGTCAAGTAGTTGAAAGAGTGATTGAAATTCCTCAGAAAACCTCATTATTCAGGTTAAATTGCCATCTTGGCACTTTGTGATAAATAAGTGGGTTTTGGGTTGCAGTTTGGGCACTCGGTCTCTAAAAGGTTTATCATCACTGACCTAGGAAGTCTTCTCGTTCAACCCCCTGCTCAAGCAGGAGATCCTATACCAGGAATGTCAAACTCAATTTCATTTAGGGCCACATCAAGGCTGTGGTTGACTTCAGGGGGCCAGGCGGGTGTGGCTGATTGGGTGGGTGGGTGTGACCAACTGGGTGGGCATAGCCAACTTGATGCTACTCCCCAAACTGCTGGCATGTTTCCCCTCTTCGCATTGGGTAGACCGGGCCAAAGCTACGCTGGCCTGATCTTTCTTCTTCACACTGTGTAGACCAGGCTAAAGCCATGCTGGCCTAATCTTTCCTCTTCGCGTTGGGTAGACCAGGACAGCCCTGCGGGCTGGATCTGGCCCATGGGCCTTGAGTTTGACACCCCTGCCCTATACCATTTCAGATATATGACTGTCCAGTCTCTTCTTTAAAATCTCCAGTGGTGAAGGACACACAATTTCTGATGGCAAGCTGTTCTGCTTTTTAATTGTCCTCACTATTAGGAAGTTGATTCCAATGACAGCTAGGACTATTTCTTATCTGGCTAAAATATTTATTATTCCTGAATATATAAGCCTCAGAGGAGAAATATTTACTCATATTTAATACATTTATAGTGTGATAAAAATAATACAAAGGACAAAATCATATTTAATGGAATTGATTAGCAGGAAGAGAAAACAATAGCTGGTGATCCCAGTTATGCTAAAGGATGGAATCTTACTGCCCTGCCTTCTGATGTAAACAGGTGAAATCAGGTGCTATTGTTGATGGAAGTAGCAGTTGTAAGTGTTATTGGATCAGTAAACTATATGAAGAAGTTGAGAAATAGGAAAAATATATATTTTCCTCTCCATTAATTCCAGTGAATTTCACTACAGAAATTCCCAACTCATTTTTCCAGCTCCCATCCTCCCAGACTATTTTTTGCAAAACACATCTGATGGACAAAAGCTGTTGACTGATTCAAACCTCAAATAACATCAGGTCTCTAAAATGTTAGGAAAGTAATAAGTAAAGCAATAAGCATGCAAAATATCTAAATATATAATCCTTTTCATATTTTGAAATTAATAGGTAATCAAATTCTAAATCCAGAATTATATATGTCTGAACTCTTCTACTGAAAAGGGGCTCACCTGCAGTATAGAGTGACCAATAGGACTATTTTCTGAAAGTTCAGCCTCATACAATGGTTTCTCAAACTTTGGTGCATTGTCATTCATGTCCAGAATGGTGATCCGCAACAAAGCGCTGCTAGCACGAGGTGGGCTACCCCCATCTTGAACCCGGATAGTTAAGTCATAAGACTCTGACTGCTCCCGGTCTAGGTTTCCCATTACAATTAGTTGTGGCTGTTTCTCATCTTGATCCTCTGCTACTTGCAAGCCAAAAAGTTTCTGAGCATCTGAACCAGGCATGAGTTCATAGGAAGCAACACCATTGGCACCAGCATCACGATCCATGGCCAATGGAATAGGGAAAAGTGAACCAATATTGGTATTTTCAGGAATGGCTAATGTGATGACGGGAGATGGAAAGTTGGGTGTATTGTCATTGATGTCCATAACTTCAATCTGTCCTTCCAATAGGCGAGGGCTATTGTTCATCAGGTCTGTGATAGAAACTTCGAACTCCAGAAAACAAGGATCTCCTGGGAACAAGTGCTGGCACTCTCTCAGGCTTTCCCGATCAATGGAAGTTTCTGTGGTATAGATATCACCAGTCTTACCATCCACACGCAGATGGGGGGCACCCACCTCTAATTTATAGAGATGTCCTACATCTGGGAAGCCATAGTCTGCTGCCAGACTTCCAATGAGTGTATTGGGTGGCTGCTCTTCCTGTACTTTGTAGACAACACGTGTTCCAAAACCAAGGTTGGGAAGCTGGAGGAAAAACCACACACCCAAGCAAGAAACCAACTGCTGCATTTTGAATTCTGATGAAACTGAAAAAAAGCAAAGAAAACAGATCATAAACAACAGCAAAGTTCTAGCCAAGAAAACTTCATTTAATTTTTACACAAATTTGCATCTAGCTGCTGTGGACTATATATAGATCTCTACAGAATAAAAAAAAAAATGAACTCCCAGTTTCTTCCTGAATATAGAGAAAGCACTCCCAGTTTCATAAGTGTGAATCACTTCAACCTCAATACCAGAATAGCCACACCTGCCTGGCTCTGGAAAAAGCCACATTTACCAGGCTTCAACACCTTACTCACTATATGATAAACTGTCATCTTTAATAAAAATGCAAATATGGAAATCTATTGTCACCCTGACTATTGTATCTTTGCAGAGTTCCATCTAAAATAGAAAAAACTAAGAATATTTACAGTATCAAACAGAAATCCATCATATAACTCTGCGTACAAAAGCTTTTTAAAAATTACGCATTACAAATGCATACTGAATAGAATACCCAAAAGCAACCCCTCATGAAAATCTCTGCATCACTTTTTAGAAATTAATACAGATGAACTTCCTAATGAATTTCCTTAAAAAGTCATTTTTCCTATTGTTAAAATGTAATAATCCTTTTTAATACAACATGAGCAGCCTTTTCTCTCATGAACCAATATTTATTTACTTATTTTACTGCCATATCCCATATTAATCCCATATTAACATAGCTAGGATTTTGGCATCAAGTGAATCAGTAAACCAACATGGTCCTAGTATGTTTGTTTGTTTGTTTGTTTGTTTGTTTGTTTATTATTTATTTATTTATTTATTTATTTATTTATTTATTTATTTATTTATTTTTTTTTATATGCCGCCCTTCTCCGGAGACTCAGGGCGGCTTACAATGTGTTAAGCAATAGCCTTCATACTTTTGTATATTTTATACAAAGTCAGCTTATTGCCCCCACAAACCGGGTCCTCATTTTACCTACCTTAGAAAGGATGGAAGGCTGAGTCAACCTTGAGCCTGGTGAGAATTGAACTCGCAGTAATTGCAGGCAGCTGGATGTTAAATGCAGCCTTAGTAGGAGGCATTAGCCTCCTACCCCACTCAGGCTCCTTATTGTGGAATATCCTTCTTTACCAGGTTTCCCAGACAGTTTTGTCCTGGAAAAAATCATTTGCATGCCTGCACTTACAATTTATGTCTGAGTTCATGTCAACTTGATTCTACAGCAAACAGACAGGCTCTCATCTCAACTGGAATGAGCAATACGCTGATCTCATAATAAAGACTGTTCAGATGGCCCTCCATTTACAAACACTTGTTTAGTGACCACTCAAAGTTACAATATCATGAAAAAATGACTTAATTCAATATCACTGAAAAAGGTCCTCGTACTTACAATTGACACAGCATCTCCAGTCATATGACCAAAATTTGGGCAATTGACCAGCATGTATTTACGAAGGTTGCAGCATTTTGGGGTCACATAATCATTATTTGTGACCTTCTCTGATAGCTTCCAACAAGCAAAGTCAATGGTGAAGTCAGATTCATTTAATGACCAATGTGTGATTCACTCAACAACTGCAGTGATTTGTTTAACAGCTATGATAACAAAGGTTGTAAAATTGGACACAACTCACTTAACAACCGCCTTGCTTAGCAATACAATTTCTGGTCCCAATTGTGATTGTTACTTCAGGACTACTTGTAGGCATGCATTCTTTAACTGTAAATATCTAGTTAACCAGAGACCAGCTAAAACCTGTCAACCTCTTTTACTAAAAAAAGAAAATAGTGATTCCTTGCTACATTAGCTGAAAATATAGTTAACAGCCTATTTCATATAAGGAGATCTATACACAAAGATTATTATTGTGTCTACTACTATGGGATTAATTGCTGTGAATTGAAATTTAATTTCTTCCTAATATTTTAATGAGCCGTTGCTCACATGCCAATTATACAACCATTTTTACAGACAAGTTATAAAAAACAGAAGATCTCACACTCATTTAAAGCAGATATATAACTTAATGAAGTGAAAGAGATATATTTTGATTTACACCAATATCGTACTATTGATATTGTACTTAAATTATTGTACTTTCAGAGATTTTGTATTTTATAAATTTATTAAGAAAATTCTGGTCTCAATTTTTATTAATTTCTGATTTTAAAAATCTCTCTTTTTTTGCTGAAAGCTCTTCTCATTGTTTTGGAGGTTAGTTGTTACAGTGCTTTTCCTGTCTAAGAGGAAATGTTTATGACTGGCTGTAAACATTCCACCTGTAAAAGTTTTACTATTAAATCAAAATATGGTCAAAATGCAAGCAATACAAACTTTACTAGGAAAGCTGGGCAGAAAGAATATTTTCCAACTTACAGCTTGAAAATTTGGATTAAAAGTTTGATAAACTCTGTTAACTATTTTAAAAGATGGTAATCAGATACAAGTATAGCACTACAGCAAGATTTACAGCATATGGATAGGAATGTAACTTGCTGCCATCAGCCCTGAAAATGAAGCTGACTGGGAAAACACAAGTTGGTAGAGGACTCCAAGAAAGGCATGGATTCTAAAGACTCAAAGCTGACAGAACTGACCAGTAATAAACTTGAATTTTCTAAGAAGATTGAGGGAGGGTGGGGAATGGTTTTATTATATCCAATCAGAAAAGGGGTATTGGTCTTACCTGATACGCTCTTTCTTGTTGGGTGGATAGCATCCAGGAATAGGTTGTCCTCGTCTGTTCAGTTGAAGGACTGAGTCTGTCAAAGTTGTTAAGCAACACCCTTGCTGCTACGGCTTCCCAGCTTTTGACGAATACAAAGTGACAGACTCAACATGTTGGTATCGCAATAGTCCTCGTTGATCGATGACTAGACAAGTGAAAGGGTGGGGTTGGATGCAACGAGAAGGACGTATCAGGTAAGACCAACGCCCCTTCTTCATAGTGGTGGAGATAGCATCTAGAAATGGGACATTCCAAAGCTGACTGTCCCTTGTATCATGGGCAGGCCACAGTCTGGTCAGAGACTTCCCCATCCATATGGACCCGTTGAAAGACCCAAATGCCGCCTCCGCTGAGGCGAACATGTCCAACTTATAACGTTTAATAAATGGAGAAGGCGACGTCCAGGTTGCGCCCTGCAGATGTCTGCCAGAGAGGCCTGTTTGGCCCATGCCACCGACGTAGCCACACTTCACATTAAGTGTGCCATCACTCGTGTGGGCCTCGGCAGGGACTGCAGCTCGTACGCCTTGGCGATGGTCAGGCGACGCCACTGGCCAATGGTGGAATGTGTGACTCTGCAACCTAAGGAAGCTGGTTGGAAAGAAATAAACGATGACTCTGTCTTCCTCAGAGCGGCAGTTCACTTAAAGTAGATGCAGAGGGCCCTCCTCACATCCAAGGTGTGCCAACATTTTTCTAAGGGGCGGACTGGGTTAGGGTAGAAGTTGAGTAAGATCAGTTCCTGCACCCTGTGGAACGCAGTGTTTACCTTGGGTAAGAAAGAAGAGTCCAACCGCAGAACTACACAATCTGCATGAAACACACACAGGTCACTCATTACTGACAGAGCAGCTAGCTCAGAGATCCGCCTGGCAGATGTAATAGCCACCAAGAAAGCCACCTTACAAGATAGGAGGCGGAGGCTGACAGATTGTAGTGGTTCATGTGGGGCCCCAGTGAGGGATTTCAACACCTTAGACAGGTCCCAGGTAGGGTACCTTTGTATTACTCGGGGACATAGATTAGTCACTCCCCTAATAAAACGCCGGATACTGGGATGCTGAGAAAGTGATTCTAGAGACCCGCAAGTTAGTACAGAGGACAGGGCCGCTACCTGCCTCCGGATAGTGTTGGGCAATAGCTCATTATTTAGTCCATGCTGCAAAAAGTCCAGGATCTGGGCTATCGATACTGCAAGTGGAGAAACACCTGACTTGCTACACCAGCTACAAAAGGTCCTCCAAGTGGTGGAGTAGATATGCTCAGTGGAAGGTCGTTGGGAGGCCTGAAGGAAAAATTGTCCCCCCTTAGAGCATGCCATTCAAGCTCCAGGCGGTCAGTTGGAACCACAGTGGGCACAGGTGGACCAACGCCCCTTGGCTGAGTGATCCTCCAGGGTGGGGCCACCAAAAGTGTCATGAGATCAGCAAAACAAGACCTCCTGGGCCAATGTGAGGCCAGAAGCAGGACCTCCGCCATCTTGTCCAGAACCTTCCATACCACCCTTGGAAGAAGGGGAAGAGGAAGGAAGGCGTAAAGGAGCCCTGGTGGCCACGGGCTGTGGAGGGCATCAACTCCCTCCTCCCCTTGAGTTGGAAACCTGGAATAAAATGTCGGGAGCTGCGAATTCTCTGGGGTGGCAAACAAGTCCACCTCCAAGTCCAAATGGGCCATCAGGTCCTGGAAGAGGGACAGGTGCAGGTGCCACTCTGTGTGGTTGATGACTGTCCAGCTGAGCTAGCCTGCCTGCACATTGGTCACCCCAGAGATATGCTCTGCTGTCAAGGATTGCAGATGTCGCTCTGCCCAGAGGTCCGGCCTCTTGGCCTCCAACATCAGGGGTTTAGATCTGGTGCCCTCCTGACGGTTTATGTGCACCTCTGTGCCCACATTGTCGATAAGCACCAAAATGTGCTGATTCACGACCAACTGTCGAAACTGGAGGAGGGTCAGATGTACAGCTCACAGTTCCAGCCAGTTGATGTTCAGGTGTAGACCCAAATGGCTCCATCTGCCCTGAGCCACTTGTGATTGGAAATGCACACCCTCAGCCGAAGAGACTGGCGTCCATTGTTACCACCTGGCACTGGGGCTCGTGGAAGAGGCATCCCTTGGAGATGGCTGGTGATCCCCACCAGTTGAGGGAACGAAGGACCTCCTTGGGAACCTGGACCTTGACTGGCGAGTTGCTTTTGCCTGCCCTCTGGAAAGGTAAAAGAAACCATTGAAGGTCTCTGGCATGTAGGCGTGCCCATGGTGTGATGGCAATGCTGGACACCATCTTGGCCAGGAGCTG